CCCCCCCCCCCTTCTACTCTCTCTGAAGAGCAATGGAAAAAATATCCTCAGGTGAGGATTAAAAAAAAACTCAATTGTAGAAATCCCCCAAAATATCAATCCAGTTATAAAGTGGGTAAAAGACATGAACAGACATTTCACTGAGGAGGACATATAGATGACAAATAAGCACATGAAAAGATGCTCAGCTTCATTAGCCCTTAGGAAAATTAAATTAAAGCCATGATGAAATATCACTGGACATCTACCAGAAAGACCAGTATAAAAAATAGTGATATAAAAAATGTTCACCAAATGCCGGTGAAGATTTGAAGAAACTGGGTTAATCATACATTACTTGTGAGAATGTAAATTGCTATGCCCATTCTGGAAAATAGTGCTATAGCTTCTCTAAAAAACTAAATCACATAAGCCCAACAACAGCACTCTTGGGTATTTATCCTGGGGAACTGAAAACTTATATTCCCACAAAAACCTGTACACAAGAGTTCACTGCAGATATATTCATAACAGCCCCCAAATGGAAACAACCTGGATGTCCTTCAACAAGTGGATGGTTAAAAACCTGGTACATTTTCAGACCATAGACTACTACTTAGCAATAAGAAGGAAAGAACTATTAATATGCACAATTTTGATGGGGCTCAAGGCAATTATGCTGTATGAAAAAAAGTCAATTTCAGAAGGTTAGATAGTTCATTCATATAATCCTCTTGAAATAAACTATAGAGGTGGAGAACAGACTTCTGGTTGCCAAGGGCTAGGGATTGTGGTGGGTGTTGGTTCTAACAGAAAGCATAAGGAAGTCTGATGGTATTACAGTTATGCATCGTGATTGTGGTTGCTGTCACATGAATTTTTACATGTGATAATGTTGCACAGAACCACACACACAAAATACACAGACTCACAAATGATTGCATATAAAACTGGCAAAATCTGAATAAGCTTTGTGGATTGTACCAATGTCAGTTTTCTGGTTTTGATATACTGTTGCTATCTTGGATCATATAATTTGGGGAAACGGTGAAGGATACACTAGATTCCTCTGTACATTTTTTTTGAAACCTCCTGTGTATATATAGTTATTTCAATATAAAATTTTTAAGACTAAATTAAAATTAAATTATTATAAAAATGATAAGTTATAAAAATAAAGGGATGATTATATTCTCTGATTTTTATATACTCTTGGGTTGTGGTTGACAAACCTTAAAATTTTCAGGTGTCAGCATGGTCTTGCTGCACATGACTAGTCCTCAGCTTGTACCACATGTGACTCTCCAGGCAAATTCAGCAACACCCTAGCTGGTCTGTACACTGTTCCACTGATGACACCTCTTATGCTGTGCCAGTGTCAGACTGCCATCAGACTTTCTAAAATTTACTGCTTGTTTCTGGACTCATCACATGTGGACCAGCAACAGCCCTTTGCAGACCTGCAGCAACTCAGCGACTACACTGGGCAGAGCAGGTCTCCATGCACACGTGCAGGATCTGGTGTTGGGCCAGCTGTTCCTCAGGGTCTCCACTTGAGTTGAGAGGGCTCCTTTTATGAGAAACAGCTGTGCTACTATTGTGGCCAGAACAAGTCTTCTGTGCTTCAGACTTTTCCAGAGTTATAATGCTGCTTTAAGGTCTCCCTTTGGAGAACAGAAAAGTATACACAGGGGAAAATTTGTTGTTATTTCTTTTGGAGAGCATTTCTTGTTATAAATGATCGCTTCCTGCTTTTTCCTGGAAACCCATTTATACAAGTGTCCTTATCCATTAGACTAGGTTAAAAATAGTGCATTTTCTTACAACTGAAAATGAGATCCTTCTGGTTAAATCTTGACATCCTTTTTACTGGAAAGCAGTATGGAGTACTCATTTGGCAATCTGTGGGTTTATGGATAATAAATAACCCCCCCCATATGGATAGTGTACAATTACTATCATCCTGTTGCAGTTTAGCATCAGAAATATTGTGGCCCAAATGCGAGAACAACGTTGTGGCATGGTTCAGACAAAGGTAAGCTCTCACCTTGTAATTCTAACTTGAAGAAACCTGAATCTAAAGATTAACACTGTATAGCAAATTACAATTTAGAAAGCTTTTACGTACATGATTTTACTGAGTTCTCACTTTTGAGATAGACATCAGTTTTGCTCTGACGTTACTGATGCAGAACATCAAGTTCAGAGCAATGCAGGTTTTTCCATGATGTCATTCAGATAGCAGGTGGAGGAGCCAAGACTGAGACTGGAGTCTCTTGACGCCCAAACACAAGCTTTGTCCATATGCCCTGTTGTTTAAGTAACATACCTCAACTTATTTTTCATAAATTTATGGATAGCAATTCTGGGATATTTACTTGCACTAAAATATTAGATTCATTGGCATGTCATAAAACGATATGGTTTCTATCACAGGTTAGTTACTAATCATTTGGGGGTTAAAAGTATGGATAATGAAAGGAAATAGGTATCCCTAAGTCTTTAGGTTGACCCGTTTTTAGGTCACTGTCAGTAATATGGAGCATTTTATTTGAACTAGTGTTGTCTGAGAGACCTGAGGCTATATCTAAAATAAAAAAGTTTACAATTTGATTTATCCAGAGAAAATATAAGGAGACTGAGTTTGAGAGTCAGTTTCTCCTCTATTCAGTTAAGCCTTTAGTTCTAGACCAAGAACTGTATTGTGATCATTTATGTTTCTGCTATTTTAAAAATATATTTATGAAAGAAGTTCTTAGTTAACTGTGCTCTTTAGGCACTTTCTTCCATGGGTGAAAATTACAACTGTGTTCTGTGAAAGTGGATGTTGGCATTCAGTCACTTAACATTTTGTTGTTTTTAAAATATGTGTCTGTAGGAGCAGTATTGGTTTTGTTATAAAATCGTGCTTGAAGTTCTTCAGAAGCTTGTGACTTTCAATTTAGAAAGACTTCCATTGCCTCACAGTTGAAATTACCAAGTGGCTTGGAGCTTCCTCAGAAAGGACATGATCAAGCCGTGCTGAAGGGCTCTGCTACGAGCACATGTGCTTTCTGGGCGTGTCACCTGATTTCCTTTCTGACAACTTCTGAAAGGTAGCAGCATTTGGTTTGGGGCTCATAGTATTTACCTGCTCATTTTACTTAGATAATATCAAAGTGCCCTCCTACATTTTTCAATGAAATAAAAATTACTTAAAACAATTGCAGCCTCTTTGGTTGAAGGGATTACAGAGCCCAGTAAAGGACTTAAACTACATTCATTAAGATTTTATTTGGAAAGACAACTAAAAGGAGCTGAGGATTTCTAGGATCTTATAAAGCCCTGGGAGAACAGAGGGCCAGTAAACTGACTTCTTACAGGCATTTTCAAGACCGATACTTATCCATGGCTTTTAGCTAGAATCTGTACTTTTAGCTGGTATTTGAATAACTCAGTTCACTAAAGAGTCCTATTAGGATGGTTTAACTTGGTATGCAAATTTATTCCATTTTCCTATACTTCTGGATCCTGTGGGGACCCAGGGAGCTCAGCTGCCTTTCTAGAACCACTGGACAAAGACCTGTTGGTCTGGGGAGCATTTTGTGGGTGGGCAGAGTTCCTCCTCTGCCTCACATGAGCACACTGAGGAACAGTCCAAGACTAAAATAGATGTTTATAGAGAAGGTCCAAGAGGAAAATTTGCCTGGCTTGAGTTCTTTCCTATCCCACCCTAACACTTAACATATTACTCAACCTGCTTTGCTGAAAAAGCAAATACTACATTCTACTTGCTTCTTGCTTTTTGCCCTTTAGCTAACCAATAAACTTTGATATGAGTATTATTATGTCATTCTTAATATCTCTTACGTCAGATATATTTTTCAAACTAAGATATATGAGTTACTTTTCCCTTCAGAGTTCCATTAAATCATTTATTTTCATTACCTCTCCACCTCTGCTGTAACATTTAGAAGTTGGCTTTGGGAACCAAATTTTGGAAAACCAAATAGTTCTGAAAACAAAAACTTCCATATTCTGGTTTTGAAAAGATGTGGTCATTACTACATTCATCTTATTATAGGACTTTGCCTCATATAATTACAGTGATATTTCTATCAAGGAATTTTAGTGACCAGTTAGACTTGATTATAAGCCATAAAGCACTTGATACATGTTTTTGTACAGTGTAATTCAGTACAAGAAAACTAATATTAAGCTGTAAATCTTGAAGTTTTAAGAGGCTTATATTGTTCCCTTGGCTGAATGAATACTTGAGTTTTATGAATTAAAATTGATAGTTCTCATTTTAAAAATAATTATATGCCAGAAATGTGTTTTATATTAAATCAAATAGATTATTCTACTTATTTACGTTATTTATATAAATAATAGTCTGTGCTAAACATTAACTTAATTTTAATGATTGGCCTTTGATATTTGTATTTCTGATTTTTTCTCTGTTTTTGTAAAATAGTAGATATAATGTACAACATATTCCTGAGGACTTGATGCTATTATTTAAATGAAAATATTTACTGTGTATTGCCTGTTGCATTTTTATTACTTGGGCCTTAAAATATTCTTCTAAAGAAAAGCTCCACAATTTATGATGGTAAGCATGCTGTTTCTTTAATGTGTGCCTCATATTTTTATAGCTGGACTGATTTTTAGTTTTTCAGGGAAATGAAATAAGTAAATATGGACATACTTATTGCATTTGTTTTGATTTTATTTTTGGGAAGTGAATTTCAAATTGAAAACTTTTGACTAATTGAAATACTAAGTTTCATACCAACAATAAATCAAATTCTGCCTAGGATATGAATGTGAAACTCCCATTGACACCTTTGTGAATATATGAATGCTTATTTGGGGGAATTATAAAAATATTTAAATATAAACATATGCATTTATTAACTTTCAACTTTAAATACATATTTTAAAAGTATATGCGTGTTGAACCAAAGCTTCTCAGAAATAAACATTGTAGGTTTTATTCTCATATGTCTTAGTAATTTATTTTTTTTTGACCTTCTATCCTCAATCTGTCTAGAACATTATTGAATTTTCTAAGTTTACATTTACAATTCAAAGGTCACTTTAATGATATAATTTTATAGAAAAAATCTCAAAGCAAAATAACTCTAAAGCAAAATGTTTAATTTTCTACTTAATGTTTCTTAATCCCTGGGAAGAATTAATTTTCTTCTATGTTGTCTAGAGGTTCAAGTAATTGAGTCAGAAGATTTGGAAGATATCTGTTAAGTACTCAGTGGAGTACTAAGTACTCAAGTTTGTTTACAGTTATAATCAAGAGCAGTAATGACCTCACAATGAAACAATTAGAAGAAATCTTAAAAGAGATCTAATGCAACCATATCTGAAACTTGAATATGATAAAGAACATTTTTTAGAAACTCATAGCAACATCGTATTTGGAGGTGAAAAAATAGTCTTCCCATTAACAAAACAACACCTCCTGTTAGCAGTATAGCTGAGTATTGCTCTAGAGCTATACAGCCAATGCAGTAAGGCTATAAAAAGGAATAGTTGGTACAGATAGTGAAAAGTTAGAACAAAATGATCTTTCCTTTATATATTTGCCTGTATCAAGTCAACTAAAATATTGTATTAGGAAATTCATTACAAAGTCCAAGTACAAGATAACTATTTAAAAATTAACCTTTCTTTATATCAGGGGTCACTAAACTATGGCCTACAGACCAAACCTGACCTGTTGCCTATTTTTGTAAATGAAGTTTTGTACTCATTTGTTTACATATTTCTATGCCTGCTCTATGCTACAGTGGTAATGACCAAGTTAGTAGTGGTGGTGATCATATGGCCCATAGAGCCTAAAATATTTACCACCTGGCCCTTTAAAGGAAAAGTCTGCCAATCCCTATTCTATATCTTCAATAGGAAAAATATTTCTGAGCAACAAGGAAATATATAAACTATATACTTTATAAAATATAAAAATACCTTTGGAAGAAAGAGAATATGAAATTGAAGAATGGAGAGAGCTAATTTACAAAGAAGTATAGGATTGGGAAGAAAGCAAGAATGGTGCTATGAAAGATCAGCCTTCAGATGCAGCAGTAATTAGCAATGCCACTCCTTGTCAGTCATCATCTATCAGTGACATTTCATCCATGTCCACCGAACAGATGCTGGCCTCAGACACAGACAGCAGCCTTGATGCCTCCACAGGACCCCTTGAAAGTTGTCAGTGATGAGTTAGTAATAGCAAGCTTGTTGTCAGTGAGGAACTCTCACCTATGTGGGCCTGAAATGCCCAGGAGTTGATGGAACCAAATAGAAAAAGTCCATGTTCTGCATGTAAGAAACATGATGCCTTGCCCCTGCTCAGTCCTAAGAGCATTGCCTGCCTAGATAATAAAGTGGAGCAGGTTATGTCTGAAGAAAAGAAGTATAAGCCACACTTTTAGAGATTTTGTTCAAGGTCATTTCAGGTGAGCAATTAGAATGATTTTTTTTTTCTTTTAAGTTGTATAGTAATAGTAGAGATAATTTCTTATCCTCAGTATTAGTCTTCCATGCGTGTGACCATAAATGCTTGCTCCGACTTGCTATCAAGCACTTTTGAAATCAATATTTAAATGCCACATAGTCTTTCAGGTAGTGCTGCTTCTAGAATTATCTCTTAATCCTCTTGAGTACTTTGGTATCTGTCCAGAAAAAATAGATTTATGTGTATTAATTGGCCGCCATCATATTATCAAGATTCAACTTCTTTTATGGTATGATTTATCCTATCTTTTGTATTTCAGAAAGAATATAATTAAGTCTATTTAATAAATAAAAAAGAGAAAAAAATACCTAAGATTGAACTCAACAAGAACTTGACCAGTTGTTGCTCACTGAATGAACAGAAAATGCTTGAGAAGAACCAAGATATTTTTAAAAAGAAAAGTTAATTGTGGGGAAGAGAGAGGGTTTACTTTAGTGATAAAAGTATTATCTAAAGTCAGTAATTAAAATAATATGATTCTGGTATGAAGATATATAAATAGAGCAGTGGAACAAAATAGTCAAGAAATAGTCTTAACAGATTCATGTGTATTTGTGAATTTATTACATGCTAAAGCTAGCATTTCAAATCCAGAGCAGAAACTGATAGAACTGATAAAACTGGAAAAATATATCACCATTCCTTTCTTACTAACTTATAGAATAATTAGACAGAAAATCAGTAAGCATATAAAAGATTTTAATACCAACTAGCTTGACCTAATTGACATATTAGAATAGTGCACCAAACTACAGCAGAACACACATTCTTTTCACGTGCATGTGGAACATTGTCCAAAAGGTTAGTTTGGGTCATAAAATAAGTCTATAATTCAAAGAGAAGGAACTGTATAAAGTATGGTTATGGAGTTAACTAGAAATCAATAGATATTTCAAAAATTCTAAAATATTTGGAAATTAAAGTACTTCTAAATAACCTATGGGTCAAAGAAAAAATCACAAGAAATTAGAAAATATTTTTAAATAAGAATGAAAACATACCATGTAACTTATGGGATGTAATCACAAAATTTAAGGGTAAAGTTACTCACTTGGTTTGTGCCATGCTGAATTTGATACTAGATTTTATATCTAGTAAAACTAATCTTGATGTACAGAGGGTGCAAATGGATGTCAACATACAAGAAAGAGCTCAGAGAAAACTTTCCAAACTTTCTACTAAAAAACATGCTTCAAATACCAAATTCTTAGAGAATCATTGACATAATGTTAAGTATTAAATATATATATAATTATATATATAGTTTTATGTATTTAATGTTTGCTTATAAATACATGCATATATGTCTTTTGAAATATAAAAGAGTTAAAAGGGAGAAATTATAGTATGCAAATGATTATATGACCTAACAAAATAGATATAATCATTTAAAAGTGGGGAAGAATGGGTATAATCTAGGAAAAAATGATTGTTTTTGGAAATTGATAGAGTAGTATTGAAATATTATTTTGAGACTATTGTAATGTTGGATAAAGCAGCTGAGTAATTATGGAAAATTCTTCATGTCCTTGTGATTGAGGACTCTCAAGGTGGAAGAATAAAGGTTCAGGTGTCATATAGAAGTTAAATAAAAACCCGATAGTTCTCGATTGGAAATTGCTATGTAAACACAGGAAGTATTAAGATGACAGATAGATAATGGAGGCGTAGAGAGATGACAGGTAGGTAGAAGACAGATAAATGAACTGAAGGTAGAGGATGGATGGATGGATGGATAGATAGATAGATTGACAGATAGATGCTCTGTCAGCTTTTCCTAGAGAGTGAGTAACCCAATAAATATGAGCATTCCTAGTGCCTAGATTTTGGATTCAAAATCCTGCAAGAATGAAAGTGACATAAAGACAATTTCAGACACAACAGAACAGAGAGTTTGCCTCCAGCAGAGGACCCTAAAAGAAATTCTAAAAGTGAAAATGGCAGAAAATGATCCC